CCGTTAAGGAAGAGCCGGTCCCTAAGAAGTCTAAAGAACCTGCCGCCCCTGTACCAGTCGTTGCTGAAGAACCAGTGAAGGAGCCTGTCAAAGAGGAGGCGGTTTCGGAGGCGCCTAAGGAGATACCTGCTGAAGAGCCTGCCACTAACGACACTGTTGCTCAGGATGAGCCGTCTACTGAGGAGACTCTGTCCACTGCAGCTCCGGATGCTCAGGAATCGGTTACCCAAGAGCCCGCCACTGAAGATGCCCCCAGCGAATTAACGAAGGAGTCCGGCGTTGAGAAGGCAGTGGAAGAGACAACCACCGAGAAGCCTACAGCTGACGATGTTGTAGCAGAGGAGCCAGCGAAGGAGACAGCAACAGTGGAGACCGAAGTTGAGAAGCCTGTCGTTGAAGTCCCTGTTGAGATAAGTTCCGAGGAACTGGCAAAGGAGCCCGTTCCCGAGAGCACCACAGCTGAAGCTGCTGCCGAAACGGAGGAATCGAAACAGCCTGCCGAAGAGACTTCTGAGCCAGCTGTTAAGGATGAAAAGGCGCCCGTCGAAAAGCCGGTAGAAGAGGCGAAGGCTGAGCCTGCCTCGGAAGAAGCCCCGAAGGAAGAGGTTGCTCAACCCTCCGTCGAGGAAAAACCCACCGAAGAGGCCGCAAAGGTGTCTCCTGTCGAAGAAAACGAGAAGGTCGTTGCCGAAGCCGCTAAGGAAGAGGAAGTTCCAGAGGAAGCCCCTGCGAAGGCGTCTGTTGAGGTGGAGGCTACAACTAGTGAACATGTCGCTGAAGAGCCTACACCCGAGAAGCCCGCCGTGGAAGAAACAACCACCGAGGAGTCCTCTAAGGATGTGACAAAGGAGGAGCCTGTCTCTGAAGTGTCCGCTACTGAGGATTTGACAACGCAGGAGGCAGCTGAGGGACCCGCCAAGGTGTCAGGCTCTGAAGAGGTGGCAGAAGAGTCTATAATGGAAGAAAAGTCCGCTGAGGTTTCCGATCAAAAGACCAAGGAGCCAGTCACCGAAGAGTCCAAGGAGACGAAGCCTGCTGCTGAGGAAGCGACCCCCGAAGAACCCGTTAAGGATACCCCTGTCGTTGAGCAACCAGTTGAATCCGAGCCCGTCCGGGAAGCTGAACCGGCGAAGCCCATTGCAGAGGAGTCTGTTAAGGAGCTCGCTGCTGAAGAGGCTGTTGTCGAAGAGTCCACCCCTGTCGAACAACTTAGCGAGGAACCTGCTGTCAAAGAGTCGCCTGTAGAGGAACCTGCTACTGTCGAGGAATCTGTCGCTGCCGAGCCTTCTACGGAGGAACCTGCGGAACAACCCGCCAAGGAAGCTGAGCCCGTGAATGAAGTGTTGACTACTGAAGAACCTGTCATGAAGCAAGCAGCCGAATCTGAGCCAGTTGAACAGCCAGTGGCGGAAGAAAAGCCTGTGGACGACTCCACTGAAAAGCCAGCAACTGAGACCGTGGCTGAAGAACCGGCCCCAGCACTGACTGAGAAGGCTGTGGTTGCTGAGACACCTGCTACCGAGGAAGTCGTTGAAAAGGCCACTACCGAAGAGCCCGCCCAGGAGCTTGTCGCTGATAAGTCCGCTGAGCAGCCAACTTCGTCGGATGTGGTTGAGGAGACTGCTGAATCTTCTAAGGCTGTTGTCCCTGAGGAAGTCACGTCGAATGAGGTTGAGCCTACTGTCTCGCAGTCCCACGAAGAGAAACCGGAAGAGGGAACTGGGCTACCTAAGGAGGAGACAGTTGCAGCTGAACCTGTGGTTGTTGAGACCCCTGCGGAACAGAAGGCCCCAGAGACTGAACCCGATGTTTTAGCCAAGGTTGAGCCTGTAGAGGCTGTGACCACTCAAAAGGAGGAACCTAGCAGCGAGCCAGCAGCAGCAGCCCCTGCTGAAGCCGAGCAGGTGGAGCTTTATCGGTGTCTTCCGGGGAGCCTCCTGTTGAGAACGAGAGCACTGAAACAGCTGAGGTCGTCCCTGAGGTCACGGAGGATACCCCTGAGCAGGATGGAAAGGATAGTGTCTCAGCCGAGTTGATTGGTGCGGGTGCTGCGGTAGCTGTTGCCGCAGGCGCTGTTGCTGTTGGGGTGGCTGCGTCGTCCCACCAGGACAAGGAGCCAGAAACCGCGTGTGCGGACAAAAGCTCCAAATCTGTGGAAGAGTCTCAACCCAGCAAGGCTGCCAGCCCTGCTCATGAGTCTCAACCATCAGCCAGTAAGGAAACACCATTGCGTACTTCGAAGAAACCTGAAGCTGATATCAATGAACCACGTTCAGGATCCGAAGAGCCAGCTGCGTCAACCAATGAACCACTCACTTCTGCTGAGCCCGCTATGACAACGGAAGCCACTGCTGACAAGGCCGTAGCTCAGAAGGGTGACACCTCTCGTTCTCCAAGCCAGACCCGGGCCGTTACTCTCAGCAACGCCAAGAATGATGGCTGGTTGAAGGTCATCCTTCGCGCCGTCTTTGTCAACTTCTTTGGAGCCATCTTCTCTCCTTTCCGCCGTCGTCCCAAGAACGACCAGTAAATCTTCAGCGTGATCGTCACTCGCACTTCCATGCATATCATCACTGATTCTTATGGGATTTGAAAATGCTCCCTTGACTCATTGTTACTAATTATGCATCTGTTTGGCATGCATATACCCGACTTTGTTGCCCAAGATTCTTGTCACTCATTTTACTTGCCTTAGTTTGATTCCCCTGTATTTGACTTGTGTGCTTTTATCAATTCAGGTTATTGTTATCTGTTCTATTTTCTATTCTCCTCTCCAGAATGTTTCGATTATTGACCGCGAGTCTGTTGTGCCAAAACTGATAGTAGTTAACAAAACTTGTTTAGTTTTGCCGTTGATTTACGTCTACCAGTATGTAGTGATGTGATTATGATTGATGATAATGAAGATTGAAGATTATTTCAATGGGTTTTGTTCTTGGACTATGTCTACTCCTTCGGATAAGCCTGCTCCTATCATAGTAACCAAACGGATACGGTCAATCCGCAACAAAATGTAAGAAGATAGAAGAGCTAGCAGTAGAAGACAGGCAGAGAAAGACAGCATTCAGATTACTGAGCAATGTTGGTGGCTCTTTCTAGCAAACTTGGCTTCCTTATCTCCAAAAGTCTTGTCCAGCCAGGACACAACTTTCGTAACGCCTTCTCAGGTCGTTTGATTCTTTGAGCGGGCAACGCCCAGTCTCATGCATTGATTGTGCAAATCTGAAATGTAGATTTGCGTAAAAGAGACATCTTATATCCTACGGGAGCCCTCATGGATACGCACAGAGTAGATAGAGCAGGAGTCAGTCACCTACATCTTTCCATCAGTCGAAGAAACAAAGTAAAGAAAGTCGAATCTCCGTTCAGAAAAGTAAATTTGCTCTCAATGTCCGGAACCAACTAATATCAAGGCATCTAAAGGGTCTTGTACGTTACATACATATCCTACGCCTTATCCAGACAGAAAGCAAGGCCATTTCTGATAGAGATCCCAAAAAGAAGGAAAAGTAAAGACAAGCCCCGAACTCCAGATCCCTGATCCCATGACTCCGGTGAAACAAGAGTAGAGAGAAAAAGAAAAATAAGAGAAGAAAAGTGAACAGCCACAGCCAATTCCATGTACGTCACTTGGGGGTGCGTGAGTGAAATTCACGTCTCGCACTGTGGCGCGTGCCCTAGCAACACATACAGTGAAGGCATCAGCATCGCCACATACAAGATCTTGTTTACTTGTGTGTCTCTTGTAGTGAAAGAGCAACACCTAGATGCTGATTTCCTCAAATCATCTCGCGACATGACAGACCAACGCAACTGCAAATAGAACAACAACGCAACGACATCTTCTTCAGGTATCTCGTTTGCTTTGGTGATTATCTTCCAGTAGCTATTTTGTTTCTGTTTATTTGTTCGCCATGGCGGACCGTGATAAAGATCAGGAGGCCCAGACTAGATCTGAGTCTGAGGAGAAGGAGTTGAGAGAGAGACCCAAGGTCAAACTGCCTCTTGTGCCCACCGTGCCTGGCAATGCCTGGTCGCAGATGAGGGCTCGTGCGCAAGAACATATTCGTGAAAGGGAGCTGTATAAGCTGGAGTTTGGTGAGTTGGGGTATGATCCTAATACCGGTATGTCGTGTCTCCCCTCCCTTTTCGCTGTTGGCTTGGCTTTTCTGATGGGAGTAGTGATAACCCGTCCAACCGCGACCTATTCTTCAAGGCCCAGTACGATGAGAAAATCATCTGGACTGGATTACGACGAGGCACTCGCCCTCCCGATGCCTAAGCCCCGTCTTATGGCTGCTAGTAGTTCTGCTCCTGCGCTTGAGCCGACGGCTTTAAAGCCGAATGTTCTCACAAAATTGAGTGGTTTGAAGAGACAGGGCGCCACGGAGCCCCATCCTGGTGATAAGGTTGGTGTGGGTACAAAGGTCGAAGGCGAAAAGAAAAAGTCCATGATCGCGACGCTGAAATCCAAACTCAGCTTCAAAGAGCTTGGTAAGGAGTTTCGTAAAGCTCAAGACCCTCCACTTAGCGCTATGCCTCAACTGCCACCGAGCATTGGAATTCCACGCGTTGAAAAGACCAAACAATCGCCGCCTGGGTCTTTTGATTTTGATGAGGAAAGACTGTATGTCCCCAAGCCCAGAGATCCTGAAGTGCACCCTGCATCTGCTCCAGTCCAGACCACTAGGTTTTCGGACACAGGTAGCTTCGAGAGTTCCCCACAGAGCGCCTCATCCTGCCCTGCACAGCAGGCTAAGGGAGATGACGGGCTTGATGCAGAAACTCTTAAAGACACACAGGAACAACATCGGCCTCATCACAAAGTGGGAAATGTAGAGCCCATGACACGCCTTGACACTGTCTTGATTGACGGCTCGTCTCCTCCAGCCAGCACAGGCGATACCAGCAGGGGCCATCCGGCGGTTATCGATGTGGAACGACGCTATATCAGTATGAAAGTGGAGAACGAACCATCAGTTCCCTCCAAGCCAAAAACTGATGCCACCTCTACTGAGAGTCCAGCTTCGTACAAGCCATCGACGTCCAACGCACCAGAAGGCATTACACCGGTGTTCTCATCGTGCGAACGCAAACAAAGCACGGTGGAGAAGAATCGCCCGCTAGTCGTCTCATCGGATCAGCAGAAGCAGAGGCCACTGTCTGTCATAATACAGGACCAAACTGAAGTAACTACCCCGTCCGGACAGTACAGTAAGCGCTCATCTACTAGATCACGGGAGCATAGAGCCTCAAGCCCTGGACAGGCTGAACCTGCCTTCGACCCAACACATATGAGGATGTCCTTCAATTCTCAACTCCCTATGGATGATCCTCGGTTCTACTCTGGCGTGACGACTCACGGAGCTATGCGCCTCCTCCACCGCACCCGGGCTACCAAAACACAGTAACCCTAGAGCAGCAAATATCCACCTACATGGATTCGATTCACATCCACGTTGATGGTACAGCCAACAAGCTTGCCAGGTCATTCGAAAACACCAATAACTGGTCAACGGATCAAATCCTGAGGCAGACGGGACATCTGTCGGATCTTATGCGCAAGCTCAATAACCGAGTGATGAGCGACACTGAAGTGACGAGAGAGCTGCAGAGGGTCATGATGGAAGTGAAGATTCAAGTCGGCGCTATACAGCGCGAGCAGCGTCAGATGGAGGACAGGATGACACAGCTCTTCCAGTGTGAGTACCACAAGCTGAAGGGCGAGATTAACGTGTTGGCTTCGACTGTAAGGTCCAACCTCCCCCACGACCCGGCACAGGATGCAAGGTCCATGAATACCAGGTTGCAGGGGAGTCAAGACTTCACCAAAGGGAGTAAAGACAATGAAAGGCCCCAGCAGTTCAGGAAGATGAAGTCACGTCAGATGAAGAGGGAAGATGTGGTGACAAAGAAAAAAGAGAGCAGAGGAGGGGAAGAACACAACTGTGAATCTGTCGCACTGAGCGAATACGCTGAGGAACACACACTTACTGATAACGTTCCAACACCTATGTCAGCCTTCCCCACTCCAAGTTCCCATGGCGATGACTGGAAAGATCACTTCACTGAGTCTCACCCCAGAAGACTCATCCTGAAAGACCCTAGCAAAATATCCACTGGGAGTCCAGAACCTCTGCCCAGCAGCTCCATTAAAGGCAAAGAAAGAGCCGCTAGCAGCAAAACTCTCGTCCACAAAGCAAGCACTGAGATCATGAAGTTCCCAGCTAAGATGGGCCTTTTCTATCCTTTCCGCCGTGGCCGTGATCGGCGTAGCAGCGAAAGCAAAATTGCGAGCCACTCCTTGCCTCCTACCAAGCGCAGCGACGATAAAACCTCCGAAGAGCGAGAGTCCAGGAAGCAAGAACCACTTCCGTTCACACCCCCTACGCAGACAAGCGCCATCGCTACTACTGCGACAGAGCATCGCCAAGTGGAAGTTAGCCCCAGCAGAGTCCATCCCGCCTTGCGCAATCCTGCTCAGCAGCAGATCATGGCTGAACGTGAGCGTCTCAAGACTCAAGATACTATGACACCCAGGCAGCTCCTACGATCCTCCAGATCCTTTCAGGACTTGAATTCTCGCTCCAGAAATGCTGCATCGTGTGACTGGATTGATAGCTCAACCGAAAGTCCTTCGAAGTCCACAACTCGCAGTCAGAACCAGCAGGATCTCGCTATGGGATTCCTTGCTCTTTCAACAGCTTCACTCCGCCCATCTGCTACAGAAGATTCACCGTTGACAACTTTCGCTGAAGCACGGATGTCTCGGGCTTCAGATGTTTCATTTGGTTACCGTGGCCCAACCCCTCCTCCCAGAGAGTCTGAAGCGAGCGAGTCGAGCCTACCAACCTGGTACCAGGCAGCCTATGCATACAAGTCCATCGAGAGGCCAGAAAACGATTGATATGAAACTATCAGTTCATGCCCAAACTGCCATTTGCTTTTCAGCATTTATGACGCCGTGGCGATTTCATTTCTTCAATAGTCTGTTAGGCTAGAGCCTTAGCCGGGGAGATGGTCGTTTAGAGGTTTGTAATCCAAAGGGGGTATTAGCGCCGATTATTGAATAGATAGGGATAGCATCGGAAGGTTTAACAGGCCAAGGGTTTGGACCAAAAATCGGTAATGGTTTGAGATTTCATTTCAGATTGACGCGTGCAGTTGACCTGCTCACGTGTTCTAAGATTACCGGGTATCATGATCTGGCTAACAAAAAAGAACAAAAAAATGGGCATAAAAAGAAACATTAGAAAAAAAAGGGAACATTTCGGTTAATGGATAAGACATGAGGAATATGTTTTTTTAAATGGCAATGGAACGTCATGTTAATACATTGCAGATAGTCATAATGACAATACTTTATTTCCTCGAGATCATCTTCTCCATATCCACAGCAGCATCACGGACTTGTGGACAGTAGTGTAGTCGCAGTAATTCGCCTTCCCATACCGTCCCAGCAAAGACATTAGTTGCTTCTATATCTGTTGCGTATGGGTTGTATACACCATCACCTTTACGCTCCTCACTGTGCCACAATGGAGAAATACGATTTGCGTGATGCTTCGCTACCTGGTTTAGAAGGGAAAGCGTAGCAATGGCGGACTTCTCAGGGACCTGGAGAGACGTCGTCAGGAGTCGTTTAGTGAAGCTACCAACACGCACCGGAGGTGGTATGCCTTGTGAGCGGGACAGAAGTGTGGACTGGAGGCAGCGGAGCAGCAGAACTGTCGGAGTCTGAAAGTTGACCTTGTTCCTCGGCTGAAATTGCTGCGTCGAGCTATTGTCATCTGGATCGGGGAGCCGAAGAGACTTGTTGGGGTTGAATTCGATGTCAGTGTTGATTGAGTGAGAGTACAGGGAGCGATAAAGATGCTTGATGAAAAAGCTTAGGTCAAGATGGAGTGTGCTTGCCGCCTTGCTAGCATCCTGTCCTTGAAGGAGCGCAAAGGCAGTGACAGTACAAAGGAGGGCTTCACGCTGAGAATCTCTTGATGTTGTTGCAGATTCAGGATCCTCATCGTCCACGTCGTCGTCTTCAATTTCGTCTCGATCAGCGTGCCCGATCAAGTCCTTCAGAGCCTCGAGCAAGTCGCCAAAGAAATCTTGGTTGATCAGATGCGCGTATTTAGCAAGGCCCTCGAGTACCGGGCCCATTAATGTAGGAATGCGGAGTTTCAAAATGCGGAAGTAGACCCCAAACACAAGTTTCAAAGTCTCTGCTTGGTTCTTATCTCTTTCCTCATGGGACACTAAGGCGTCGGCTTCCTTCATATCCTTCTCCACGGCCTTCCGTTCCTTTGCGATCTTGCGTTCCCGTTTAGTGCGAAATTCCTTCTTTTGCTTCTTCTTCCCAAAGAATGTGTTCTCCTCTGGCTCACGATCGACCCGGTCTCTTGATGCCTTAGAAGAGAATTCGGAGAGTAGTCGGAGGTGCAGGAAGGTGTCCAAGACGCTTTCATTGATTCTGAATTCCTTCGCCTTCATCATCTTCGACAGGAGACGAACGGCTTCAAGGGAGACAACTCCGTCCTCATCTCTTGCGAAGACTTCCTCGAGTGTTTCCCGGCATTTAGCAAAATCGGCATCTACTTGTCTCTTTGCGAGCCGGTTGACAAGGATTTTCAAGAGCTCCCCGCGAAAGTTGAAATGCGGTACAGAAAGAAGCATGTTGCAAGCGCAGTTGATCGCAAGACTTTTTAAACTAGGATCAATTTCCTCCTGCGTAGCTTTAGACGGCTTTGTAAGCTCAGTCAACTTCTGAACGTAGTGTTTGTAATTTGAGAGAAGCGACTGTTCGTAGTTTTGCAGTTTGCGCACTTCTTTCGATAACTTAGCAGACATTTCGCTATCGCTGAGAGGACGGATGCGGTAGCCTGGGATCACATCCTTAAATATAGCAGCTTGCGAGGCAAGAGCCAGCTTCTTGATTGCAACGTGCGCCCCGTTATTAACCATTTCAGCCATTGTTTTGAAAGAGCCAAGATGTTCCTCCGGGTCTTCATTGATCAAAGTCGCCAGTTTTGCAAGTTCTTCTTTCGCCTGTAGGATCTGCAATTTCATCGGAATCTTGGGCTTCTCCTCCTCCTCCGCAGGTGTTTCCTTATCCTCGTCCATGTCATCCTCGGCGCCGGAGGCTACATCCTCCTCATCGTCATCGGTGCCAAGGAAACTGTCAGACTCTTCAGGCTCCTGTTCCTCAATGTTTTGTAGACCCTCCGCGGTTTTGATAGGTAACCTAGTCCTCTCCTTATCTTTCTTGCCCAATTTGCGCGGACGGCGCTCGTAATCTTGTTCGAGATCCCATTCGGAAGCGTTGCTGTAGAAGTTGTTCAAGGCTGAGCCCTTGGAGGTTTTCGAGGTGCCATTGCCTTCACCACCAGGAGGGCTCAGGCGTCTCCTTTTATTCGTGCGTCCTGGAGCCATGACGATTGATTGAGCAACCGAATTGTCGTGGTGAGGGTCGATGGTTGGTTTTGAGCGGTTCCCGTCCGAAACTTTTTTTTTTCTTTTCGGTGCCAAGACATTTATGCCAAAAGCTCTCCACCTTAAACTTTTCTGGATTTTTTGTCCGCGGAGCTTTTCTTCGACTGCGAACAACCCGTATCAATCACTCAAAATGCGTCAACTCACTGAACAAGAGACGAAAACGCTTTTCGAGAAACTGGCCAACTATACTGGTCGCTCGTTGAACAACCTCATTACTACATCCGATGACCCCAATGACCGATATGTATTCCGTCTCCATGGAAATCGTGTCTATTATATGAAACTGTCCTTGGCCAATCTTTCCACAGCCATTCCTCGCGCAAATCTTCTCTCGCTTGGTACCTGCATCGGGAAGTTTACTAAGAGTGGTCAGTTCAGGCTGCACATCACCGGTAAGATCTCCACCAACCATTAGCGATTGATGAACAGATCTCTGACTTCTACAGCCCTGGATGTGATTGCTCCCCACGCGAGATACAAGGTCTGGATCAAACAGAACGGAGAGATGCCCTTCCTGTACGGTGGAAATGTGGTAAAGGCGCACGTCAATCGATGGTCAGACGATTGTCCAGAACACGCAGGTGTTATTGTCTTCAACTCGAATGACACTCCTTTGGTAAGACGGACGTTGGCACAGAGAATATGGCACTATAAGTTACTAACATTGTCTCAGGGCTTTGGAGTTACTGCCCGGTCCAGCGCTGAAGCGAGGAAATTGGAACCAACAGCCATTACCGTTTTCCGCCAGGGAGATATAGGAGAATACCTGAGAGAGGTGTGTTACATCTTGATTGTGGAAGCCCTTGCACACATCGCAGCTTGCTGACTTTTGCCTAGGAAGATACCCTCTTTACGACTTAAAGCAAAATCGTTGCATAGGCGGGATCATTCATGGAATTTGGATGCTAGATACCTGGGGATTCTCGCAGGAGTTCTGGAGTCATCTGTCTGTTTCAATAGAAAAGTTTTTACCTTTGTTCTTCAGCATACTGTATCCATAATCATATGCGATTGCAACAGCTCGTTTCCCCCTTGCCTAAACCCAGTTATATCCCTTCTGACGTTTCCTGATATAATGTCTCCCTTGATCTCTTCAAGTACTTGGTTCAATAACGATGTAAACTTTCTACCCCGTGCATACGGAATAGTTTTGGTGGGAAGGATAGGACGCCGATAGCCACACGGCTTGCCGCGATAATATAAAGGATCGAGGTTATTCGAAAATGAAAAGACAAAAAATGAATAAATATTTCAAATTGTCTGAGCGAATAATTTGCAAATAATTTTTGGACTGGCCGGTTGTCAGAAAGTTATCTAGAGATAATCAGTCGATACTGCGGGGCACGTGCATTATCAGTGATCAGTCAGCTCTCCAAAAGCGACAATACGAACTTTTGCATCTAATCAGCCATCATTGTGTCTACTACATCTTGCAAAATCTCTGCTGCGCTGAACAATTAGTGCGTCCTCTAATATATCGCTATTCTGATTATTAATTTCACTCACTTTCACATCCCTTGTTCAGGTTTCTTAGCACTCAATAGAAGATCGTACCTGAAGCCGTCTGCACCCCGCCATGCCACCTTACTCGGGTCTCCAGAGGCAACAAATAGCTCAGTTTATGAACTTTACACAAGCCAAGGATGCAGTAGCAGCCAAGGTATGGTCCTTTCTTTTCATAGTATACCACAGGCATTGTTGGTCTCAAGTCGCACATATAACCTTCCATGTCACGTGCGATAATCATGGCCCAATAGCTGATGTTTCGTTTATAGTTCTTAAAAGCATCTAGGTGGAATGTCGAAGAAGCAATTGATGCGTAAGTTAGCTGAGATATTTAATTTCTCTTGTTCTCTTCTTGTCTTTCCCCCCGATCCATGGCCCAACCTTTGCTTTTCTCGGGCTCTGTAATTCTGCCGTACTGCAGTGTGGAATTGCCGTGCTCCCTTGTTGAATGACTGGGCGGTTTCTGTGCTCCGGTGTTTACTGGCTATGCTCTTTTCAGTTGCAGCAAGTTGTCGCCCGCCTTTGGCAGGTAAACGTGCAAAGGAACGTAACTTGTCAGGCATTGATTCTCCATCATCCTCTTGGACATCCTATGCACACGACAGAGCACTGCTAGCCGGTCTTCTATCCAATGTTAGCAGCCAATTGCGTAATACCCGCCAGACGAGACTGTGGTGCCTCGGGCCAGCTTGGGGGCTGTTAAAGTAACTCGAAATTACCTCCAAGTCTAGCTCGTCTATGTGGCGCCTTGCCACAATGTGCCACTTATGGAGCACATACGGGGGACACTCTTGAACCTCGTAGACAGGGTGTCATGTATCCGTTCGGCACATGAGGGCACAGGACATGGATGAGGTTCGCCATTACCCAAATAATCTCCAAGCGTCATCCTTGTGTCATCACGTCTGGATCCTTTCAAAGATTCCGAGGGAACATGACCGAGATAGGCATTCAACCTCGCAAGCGTCAAGATGAGGACCCGCTCTGGAAGGTCGAAATACTTATGTCTTCCGTCGGCCATGCCCACACGTGCCTCAAAGAGGCGAAAGTCAGTCATATCAGCGCACACGACGTTTACTGACAAGGTTCAGGTATTTCCAGAGCCCCCAGGGGCAGGAGGCGCCACCTCCTCCATCAACAAGATATTCGACAGCTATCGAGGTAGGACAGCCCGCCTGAAAGTATACATTAGTTCCAAGCTCATTCCACTCAGACTCCCCGGATGATAACCCTGATGGCATCGGCATTGAAGGGGCGATGAAATTTCTCGGCGATATCCAAGTGCAACTAGACGAAGTGACATGTCTCGGCATCGCGGAACTTCTGAAATCGCCATCGATGGGCGAGTTTAGTCGAGACGGATTCCTAAATGGCTGGAGGGCTGTCGGGTAACAACGCCACCAATGCCCGCTACCGGAATCCGCGAATTGAGATGATCTAATCTAATCTACAGGTGTGACTCCATCGACAAAATGGTCGCCCATGCTGACAATCTTCGATCGCGGATCCCGACGCAGCCAGATCTCTTCCGTCGCGTATACCGCTATACCTTCCCTCTCTGCCGGATGCAGGGTCAGCGGAACCTCCAATTTGAGATTGCAGCCGAACAGTGGAAACTATTCTTTACACCGGACAAGGGCGGAGTCCAGTGGGACACGGAGACGACTCCATGGTTAGACTGGTGGATCGAATTTATGGAGGAGCGCGGAAAGAAACCTGTTAACAAGGACCTGTGGGAACAGGTTGAGGTCTTTATGCGGAAGTCTCTTGACGATGGGCGGTTTGGGTGGTGGAGTGCGGATGGTGCATGGCCTGGGGCACTTGATGATTTTGTAGTCTGGGTTCAGAAGAAGAGAGGGGATAATATGGAGGTAGAGTGATGGTTCGTGGTGGATCTTTAATGGGAATGGGTGCTTAAATGCACTGTAGAATAGAAATATTCTACTTTTAGCAGCTCTCTATATCCAGTCAACTATATCGGGCTCTACGCCTCTTTCAACCAACATGTCTGAGAAACATTCGCAAACCATTTGCAGTAGAAGCCCCTAATTTTTAACTATCAGAGACCGAGGACACAAATTGCAGGTAATTTGTAATATGACATTGCAAAAGGTGGGTAAATAGCAGCACTATGGACTATCAAGTTATGTATATCGCCAGCTGCAGACAGAGACTAAGAAAAACATTCATCGTGACGGTCAAACATATCTTCAACTCCGCACAACACAAGATAGGCAATGATCTTGGGGCCGGATCAGAATGGAACATGAGAATAGAATCAATCAGACATGCGAAAGGGGTAATTGGGGGTGGAGATGGGAAAGTAGATTGCCCGTGCCTTCGGCTTGCCTTTTCCTTGAGGCAACGTAATGCATATATTCATCCGAGGTATGGAGCGGATGGGCCGAGGATATGGAAGGCGTTCGGGTCGTTCGGCTTGAGCCGGATGGGTAGGGTCTGGATTTATATACAACTAACGGTAATCCTTGGGCTCGTATTCACTGCCTGGGCCGCCTGGGCCGCTGCGACGTTGGTCGTAACGCTATTTAAAATCGTAAATTAGTGTCTGAGATGAAACGGTTGAAGAGGGCATTTACCTTTCTCAAGGCCTCGAGGCGCTTCCTCTTGGTATGGGTGTTGACGTAGGTTCCAATGAAGAAACCAATAATGTTAAAGAATGGCACCCAAGTGTGCTCGGGGAGGAACTTCTGCGCAAACGCAAGTGCGAGAGGGGAAGTGATCCAGCTGACTTTCATGACGGGCATGAAACCGGCGCGAACGGTGGCGCGAACCTGATGGAAGGTACGCGCGCCGGTGATAACGGCCATCGACGATAGGTACACCACGTTTTGAATGGGGGAGATCTGCGTTTTCGGTTAGCGCATCCGCGCATTCCAGAGATCGAAGGCCCGATCGATGGACATCAGACAAGGCTGGGGACGTACGATGAGATTGCTAAAGAGAATCTGCAGGATCTTGGCCTTCAGGCTTGTGCGGCCGGCAAAGATCTTTTGAAGGATGCCCACAAGGAAGTGGCCCAGCGGGGCAGCGACAAACATGCCGTAGAGAAGCATCTTGGGAACGCGGGCGCTGAAGTAGTGCCCATTCCTGCTGACATCATTCGCGATCCACGAGGCCAGATACTCTTGAGATGCGGAAAGCACACCCGACGTCAACATCTTTGTGCGCAGAGGGTTCTTCTGCAGCTGACGCAGGTACATCTGTAAATGCGAGCATTTCCCATGTCAGCGAGTTGCGATCGTACCGACCGCGATCAGATCAATCGCGGACCCGACGCTCCGGGATGGAGGATAAACATACAGCCATATAGCCATTCTGAGGGTTTCCGCCAGTCAAGCGCTCGCCGACTTTGTGAACCAATTCTTTTGTGTCTTGGCGAATCGACTTTGCGGCCTCCTCCTGAAACTGTCCCTGGATCTGCCCCTTAATCTGTTCCGTGACCTGTTGCGTGACCTGGTCCTGGAACTTATCCTGAAATTTTACGGACATGACGGCGGTTGATGCGATGGCGTCGGCAATAGAAGACGAAGGTAGCGATGATAAGATCCGTTGTCGGAATTGACGGCAACGGGTGCTAATGCGGTGTCTGAGAATCAGTTAATAAACGATCCGCACGGACAATAATGCACACAATGGGACTTTAGGTGACGGACAGTTGAATATGGGGCGAAGTGGGTTAAGAGGGGGTTTTAAAAAACAATCGGTGAGAGATTGAGTATGGGGTTGGAGAAAAAGAAAAAGTCCCGCCAGGAACTAAAGAAACAGGGGCTGAGCTGCTGTTTGTTTATGGAACGAGGAGGCTGGAACTCTCCAGACCGAAAAAAAAGGTCTCAGCTTTGGGGGGAGACGGAAAGCTTACCGAGGTTAAGTAAGGTAAATAGAGGGTAGAACAATAAGAAGTTAACTGAATCGAGGGAATTAGACCGATTAATTAAAAATAGACAGTTAATAAATGAACGAAATTATGTATCGATCTGGAGAACCTGTGGGTTTCTCTTATATGCAGGTCATTTATCGAAACCTGGTGTCAGATAAGAAAGATATAAATAAGGAAAGCCTTGTCCCAAGAGAGACCGACACAAAATAGACGGTCGGTGTTTGGACCTGGGGATTTAAAAGCTGGAGGGAAAAGTGGAGGATGAATCGGATCTCTCAGGGCGACAGGTCAACAAGTCGGCCACGAGTGTCGGCAGATCTTATTTATATTGCTGTTAATTAAATTCAAAAATTACCTGCTAATTTTACTATGCGCAACCAACTGCGCTTGTCCGCTGCCTATCGGTCACCTCCGATAGCCTATCGCTTTGGCACGCTCGAAAGTTTATTTTTCTATCATTTTTTTTGTGATTGTTTTGAATAATCTCCTTCCCTATATAAGGACTCGGCGTATTGCTAATGATCACAGGCAGTTCTTATATCTGCACACTTACACATTGGATTTCGTCGCTTCCATATACTTTGTATACTGACTTTGAGCTTTCTTGTTCTCACTGAAAAATCTATATTTTGATATAGGTAACAGGACTACGGATTATGGACTCTTTACAGAAGCAAAGCAATGGTGGACATACAAAGGGTAAAAAGAGAGAAGACAGGAAGTATATAATCAAATGGAGTTTCAGGATATGTGTCAGGTTTGGTCGGTGTTCCAATTAACATACTCATTCAGAGACCGATATACCAAAAGAATGAACTTACTAGTATATATTCTGCAGCCTGGTTTTTTACTATACCCTCGAGGCTTCACACCTCACACCAATATCCCAGAATAATCCATTTATCTGGTCCTTATTTACTTGGTATGCATGAGAAAGACAAATTGCATGAGAAAGTAAATACACCACTTCACAGGAATACTTCTTTGAAGTTCTTTCTCAGTATGACAGTAATTATTGCCTAACTTCAGTATGTCTGTCACGAAGCGCAACCTTTACTACTTTTCGAGTGAATGTTTTCACTTACTCTTAAATATGTCTCTTCTTGTTACTGTGTGATACCACACTGGGCTCTCATTTCCAACCACATTTCTCTACTATTCATTCCATCCCATCCTGAGATATGGCAGACAATGAACAGGGCGACTCCGAACAGAACACAGGTATTCATCAAACTAATTCACTTTTCATCCTACAAGTGCCTTCTTTAGCATCCATCTATCCTCTGGCCCACCAGCGTCAAGTTCCCACCCAAGAAGGCTACCTTTGGCCTGCCTCCGATATCGAGCGACCTCTCGACTATCAGAATTATTATACCGGACATCCGCTCATGGCTCCGCCGGCAACCCAGTCAGCTATCCGCCAGCATCGCTGTCATCACAGTGTGATGGAACGCCAGTTCTGCATTGACCGTATGGAAACATGCAACTCATGTGGAAGATGGCCATTCCTCGGATGGGTCTACCTCTGTGTTGAGGATAATTCGGGGTTCTCTGATCCCTTGGATCCCATAAACGGCCCATTCCTCAGTCCTTGGATAATGAAAGCCATGGAAGATGGTCACTATACGACAGAACAGAAGGAAATCGTGATTCACCAGAAGTTGAACGTCGTGAGGACAGCGGAGAGAGAAAGAGGTACCATACCTCCACCATTGTCTATGCTCTATGCAGAGCGCAGTACGCAAACTGGTCACAATCAGGATGATCCATGGGTAGAGTTGGTAGAGGATGTCAGCCAGCGAGATGAGAGTGCTTCCAGAACCGGCGAATCAGCGGTTCGTCTCGACCATTCTGAGCAAACCTCGCAGCTACTCCAGCACCCACACCCTGCTCTTCCATGCACCTTCAAGCTTGTCGTTTCTGCGAGCGTCGCCATGGTAACCTCGAGGAGCGCACCTGGATAAGCCTCAATGAAATCTGCAATGATCCTTCTATTCCCTCTCCAGTCCCGTGGGAACTGCTCGAGAGGCCTATCTCCGATGCTAATATTCTTCGGAACTTAGAGCTGGGCTCTCGGTGTATCTGGATAGGCTCTCCAGAGGTGATTTCCTCAGGGCACTGCATCTCAGAAAGCAGCGAAGATATAAGCGTTAGGCTCTATTCTCAGGAGAATATCCCGAGCGTCAATCTCCATGAGCTTGTGGATCAGTCTCTGAACATATCGGTCAGAAGCGACGAAAGAGAGCAAACCATTGCATCTTATACGAGCCAGCCAAGTGAAAGTATTGTCGTTGGAATGACTATCTCTACGTCCGATGATCACTCCGCATCGTATTCGTGGTCAGACCCATTGGAGCACGGTCATGATGAAAAGTAACCCCGGGGAATAGATTTGACAATGAGGACATCTGCATACGACTCTCGATCCATGGTTATTACGAGGGGGTAGTGGAAAGCAGAACTACAACCTTTTCATCTCATTATTGTGCCACGACTGACTACATTGATTATTACTGTCCCTATCTGACAGTGGCTAACAAAACAAACGAGAAGAAGAAGTAGGGGAGAGACAGAGAGAACGAAAAAGCAAATTGATTCTTATAGTGGCGCGGGAATGCAAAGGCGTGTGTTACATAGTGGGATGATCTTCGAGAAATTTTTATGAAGGAAAAGTTCCGTGGGCAAAATTTCCTAAACAATTCCATTAGATAGTGGAATCCACATGCAGATCAACCACAAAAACCAACGCTTCGAGTTTTGCATGCGGTACGCGCGGGTACTTTTGCAAGACAAATTAGCCCACTGCAACTATATAAACCGACATTTTCTACCCACCCGGTAGTTCATGGGTAGGACAAATGTTGTGAAGGACTGGCTGTCAAGTGTGCGCAAACTGATTCGGTTGATCACAGCGATTTGTCTGTAAACTCCGAACCTCGGCATCCGCGCCAAGCGCAAAGAAGTGCTAGTCAGATGCTCTGCGTTGACATTTCCCTATAAATCCACATCGCCCTGCGCTCCATACCGCCCTCTCCAGAGCATCGGAGATTCCCGCATATTTTTGATACTGCCCGTCATGGCTGACACTGAAAACCCCCCTGATTCCTCTGCGCCCGCCGTTACCGAAACACCGAATGTGGGGAAATCGGCCAGTCCCGCGGGGGTTTCACCCTCGCGGCCGTCGTCTTTGAATGTCGCTCAGCGCCAGCTGCTAGAAGCCCTCAGGGTAACCGACGTCACCATAGGCCGCTTGGACAAGTAAGTGATTGTCTGAGGTCTCGGTTTTTATGTGCGATTCTCTGCTTTTGGGCGACTGGAGTCTCGACCAGCAGCAGTCCCTAGCATTTCCATATAACTAACTGCGCACTGCGCACAGGCTCATGTCATCGGCTTATGGTCAAGAACGAGTTTTTGCTGTCACCGGTTATCTAACCCATGCGCTCCATCACCTCCTCGCCTCCGCACCATGGATTGCCATCCAAACACGGCTCGGCCTTCTGGCCCGGTTGAGATCGAAAACCAAGCCTGTCGCATCCAACTCGACTCCCTCGCAATCCCGACTACTTGCCCTCTCCGCTCTCATGTCGGAAACCCGCTATAGCCTCCGGCTCTTGGGCCTCTTCCCTCTGTGGACTTGGGGTTCCGCTACATTGAAATCTCCCCCATCGGACCGCATCCTCTACGCACTTACCCTTCTTCAAGTGATTGTGAACATGATCTACCAAGCCCTTGAGAATGCCGGCTTCCTAGCTTCCAAAGGAGTAATCTCGAAGAAGTTCATCGACCGCTGGGGCGGAATTGACAAGTGGTATATATGGAGTACACGGGCCTGGTTCGGCCACATCTTCTTCCAGTTCTTTGTGCTCTGGAGAGAGCACGTGCTCCGGAAGAAGAGAATGAGTGGTGAAGTGTCGGAGGAGAAGAAGGAGGAAGCCTTGAAAGCCGAGGTTCGCGCCTGGAAGAAGAGCCTGGTGAATAATACCTGCTGGGCGCCATTGTGTCTTCACTGGTGTTTCGAAAAGGGGATTGGTTTCCCTGACAGCTTGAGTGGTGTTGTTAGCTTCATGGCTGGGGGTTGGGGCGTTTATGACTTATGGACCGCAACTGCGCAGTCCTAGACAAACAGGAAATCCGGCTGGTCTGAGATCTGTATATAACTGTGGTTTAGAGTATAGTAACTGGCGCAACTTGGGGATTATAACTCAAAGACTTTATGATAGAATAGAACTTTCTTAATTTTTAAATTCCCTCGATGTCACATTCTGTCAACTAAATAGGACAGTCTTCTTAGCATCTATCTATCTACTACTGTTGAATGCATAAAGCCATAATAACTGTACCAAATCTCAGCCCATGATCCTCTCGTAAACTCCCGCGTGCCCTAAAACCCCCCAAACGCCCATTTCAGTAGCAACTTAATCTCAGATGACTGCAGAAAAGACAGCTTATTACTACCCCGGTCTTACAGAAACAACCCCGATCCGTCCAGCATATTCCTGTGCTGGGAATTAACAATGTTCTCATAGAACTTTTCTTTCAAGAACCCATCCAGAGGCCAAGCTGTGCTCTTCACCGGTATCAGGCCCTCCTTCGAACCATACCAAGCAAACATACCAGCATCAATGATCCGGTTACTGCAAATATCATGGCAAGGTAAGCTACTATCCTTCAGACGAATCTGAGCCCTCACATCCACCAAGTTCATAAGCCCTCCTTCAAGATCGTAGATCAAGTTCCGCTGATCCACGTCCAGTCCCAACACGAGCATTCCTTGCACTGTATCGCTCGGATTAGATGTTTGGACAACGACAGGCGGACTCTTCGGTGAGATCTGGTGGAGCATGTAGCCTGATACGCATGCGCGAGTCATTCTTTTTGTGATGTCGGTGGTCGGGTTTTCTCCTATGAAATACTTGAGTACGGTGGGAAGCATTAACACGCCGTAGACGAAGCGCGGTGCACAGTTTGGCCTTTTGAGGAGCTCAGTCAATGCTTCCTCTGTGAAGGTGTTCAGGAGAGCTTGGTTGAAGTCGGCTGGATACCATGGTTTGCACTCCATCTTAATAAATGTAGGACCATGCAGGACTGGTTCAGATGGAATGGACGCCCATTCTTTGGAGCAATACTCTTGTCGGTTGCAATAGTACGTTTGCTGTATCTTTCTCTTATTCTTGGGACTCGTGGTCCGATTGTAAGGTGTGATGACTTGGGCGAACTATGTAATGGGTTGTTGGTGACAATGTGCTCTCTTAAGTATGAGATAGAAAGAATATTTCCTTGATAAGTTATATGACTATGGCATTTTCCAGCCAATTTGCATGAAAGTAAATTGGTATCTAGTAGAAGGAAAACTAGTGAAGAGTTGGAAGTATACAACACTTTAGGAGAGCAATGTTAGAAAAGGAAAGCACGGTTCGTAAGTATACTGGGTAGTACCGAGCAAGTCTGGGACATTAGGGCTTTATACAGGTGTTCAAACCAGGCAACATTTCTATCATGGGCAAAGCCTGAGAAGGCACCTTCATTTGCCTAGTCATGTTGGAGCCTTGGGTGAAGGGGGTGATATGTAGGGTGAACGAGGCTGGTGCCACAAGTGGTCAACAAATGATATAGGCCTCTTGCCTGAGGCAACCAGGCACATCAGCCGTGCGGAGTATTTGGTTGAAGTTGGAGTATGTTAGAAGGATCAGTCAGCATCAACGACGAAAACAGAAGTTAAAAGATAAGAACCTTGAAGGCAAATGCCACTTGGCAACAGAGAACGTTTCAGAACCTTTGGGCTTTCCTTAATTAATAATATCACTAGAAATAAAGAAATGAATGATTAAATCTTGGAGTTGACCAGTCGATACGTTGGGTAGCTTGTGTCAGTACTAGTATGCGACCGGCTTCCATACGCTTCTGTACTCGGGGCGGTGGCGGCAGCCGCCCAGTGGCTAATGGGTGAGGAACCTGGCTTAAGTCATCAACAAGAAGGCAGTTGAGACTATCGTCACCTCTTAACGGGTAGCTGTTTCTGCCACTTCTGATCTCACTTCCAACTCTCTGTCTCCGCTGCATTTTATCAATCCTTCCCCTTTCTCCCATTTACTCATCCCTCAGACATTTCATCGTGTCTGCTGGATCATTTGCCTGTGTTGCGTTTTTTTGTTCTTTTTTTCTATTTTCGAGTTCCTGTCATCGGGCATCCTAAGTCCGATACAGTGACGTCCTTCGTACCTTCAGACCTACCCTGCTTCAAGAGCTTGCTAGATCAGTGACCCATCCCCATTTGCCGTCAAAATGAGCGCAGAACCCGACCACACTCATGATAAGAAGAGGGTCCACCTTCAGTATGTCTCAAGTCCTTCACTCTTGCAGTGATTTATGTGCTAACCGAGCCCAAGGGACGCCTCTGGCGCCGAGAAGAAAGAGGTGAAGATTCATCGCAGAAAGAGATTGTGCCGACCATGACACTGACTGATCTCGCCACAGGAACTCGATACCTCGACAGCCATCCTAAAGAAGAAGAAGAAGCCCAACTCATTGATGTATGCTAGCATTCCCCACAACTGCTAACAACGGAGGGGGTACCTTGATGGATGCTAATCAGCGGACTTGCAGTGTGACCGATGCCGTCAACGATGATAACTCCGTTATTGCCCTTTCCAACAACACTATGGAAACCCTCCAGCTCTTCCGCGGTGACACAGTTCTGGTTAAGGGCAAGAAGCGGAAAGACACCGTTCTGATTGTGTTGGCGGATGATGATCTTGATGATGGAAGCGCCCGCATCAACCGTGTGGTGAGGCACAACCTCCGTGTCAAGCACGGCGATGTTATCACTGTTCACCCATGCCCCGATATTAAATATGTAGGTACTCCCAACTACGGCTTAACAGGACGTGCTAGCTGACCACATTCTGGTTTTCTAGGCCAAGCGTATTGCTGTTCTCCCCATCGCAGACACGGTTGAGGGTCTCAC